ATGTCATGTATAGATAGTTACTTAATCTTTGTTTGTTTATTTCTGTGTATGGGCTCTCATGTCCTAAACAAAACATATTTTTGTTTATTCTTTCATATTATATTCCTAATTCTTTGTATCGTATTTAGGTGTATTGATATATACCTAGTATGTTAGTTATTTAATTCATCCAGAAAAAGAGCAATTATTATGTGATGCAGCATTCTAATTTTGATTCTATCGTACAAACTTTTGAACATGGTGGTGTAAACACATAGGTTTTAATCACTGTTCTAACATTGATTTTAATGTTGTTTTATAACAGTTTAACACAGCACATGTCCAAAGAGTTGGGGCAGGAAGAATTTGGTGTATGCAAACTGGGCAGTCCAAGCACAAATAGCCCTCCATTGGCTTCATTGGGTATGATGTTTATTTTTTCATCTTTATTGTATGTCATGTCAATAGCTGCATTTCCTGACATGGAGGATTATTCTTCAAGGTTCATCTAATATGGCAGCAATGACATCTTCTGGCCGTGAAAATGGGAGTATTCATGGTTTACATTCTGGACTTCTCACATCAATGAGCCCGTTCAGAGAGGCTTCTTTTCCGGGTCTATCGTCTACCATACCACAGAGCCTGTCCTCTCCCATTGGAATTGCATCTGCTGCAACTCATAGTAATCAGGCTTCCCTTGGTGAGCTCAGCCACTCACTTAGTCGGATGAATGGGCATATGAATTATGGTTTTCAAGGCATGGGTGCTCTTCATCCCCATTCCCTTCCTGAAGTTCACAATGGAGCAAATAACGGCACCCCTTACAATCTAAACCCGATGGCACCAGTTGGTGTCAATAGCAACTCGAGAACAGCTGAAGCAGTTGACAGCAGACATCTTCATAAAGTGGGTTCTGGTAACCTCAGTGGGCACTCATTTGATCGTGCCGGTGAAGGAGGTAAGTTTGTAAATTTGGACATCCTAATCTCCATTTTTATTTTTGACCCCATTCTCTCTCATTTCCATTCCTTAAGCATGTGTTTTGTAATAAAGCTGTTTGGTTTATCAGGATTGTGACAGCTAACTGTCAAAAGTTGATCAATTAATGTATGTTATTTAACTGTACCCTGCATGACTGCATGTGTACCAATTTTTGCAGCTATGGGATTTTCAAGAAGTGGAAGCGGTCCTGTCCGTGGTCACCAGTTAATGTGGAATAATTCAAATAACTTCCACCCTCCTCCCAATTCCCCTGTGCTGTGGCAAAATCCGGGATCATTTGTAAACAATGTTCCGTCTCGCCCCCCAGCACAAATGCATGGAGTTCCAAGAGCACCATCACACATGATTGAGAATGTTCTTCCAATGCATCATCATCACGTGGGCTCTGCGCCAGCAATCAATCCATCACTTTGGGACAGGCGGCATGGCTATGCAGGGGAATTGACAGAAGCATTAAGTTTTCATCCTGGTAGTGTTGGGAGCATGGGATTTCCTGGTAGCCCTCAGCTTCATGGTTTGGAGCTAAATAGCATATTTTCTCACACTGGTGGTAATTGCATGGATCCAACCGTGTCTTCAGCTCAGATCAGCGCACCATCTCCTCAACAAAGAGGTCCTATCTTCCATGTAAGGAATCCTATGGTTCCCCTTCCATCATTTGATTCACCTGGTGAGCGGATGAGAAGCCGAAGAAATGACTCAGGTGCTAACCAATCTAATAATAAACGGCAGTACGAGCTTGATGTTGACCGCATAATGCGGGGGGAAGACTCACGAACTACACTGATGATAAAGAATATCCCAAATAAGTATGTTTTGAGATCACCCAATTTTATGCTACATTTATGTTCTGTCTCAATAATATATATTTTTTGTTCTGGTTCTCTTTCGGGTTCCAGGTATACCTCCAAGATGCTCTTGGCTGCTATTGATGAAAGCCATAAGGGCACTTATGATTTTATTTACTTGCCGATTGATTTTAAGGTAGTTTGAATTTAACTCATAAGCGACCGGTGCCTCGTATTTGTTGGGACTGTACTTGTCTGTTCATGTTACTAAATGAAATCAATCTCCTTTTCAGAATAAATGTAATGTTGGCTATGCTTTCATCAACATGACCAATCCTCAGCATATCATCCCGTTTTATCAGGTGAGAAAATTATTCAGTTGACAAAGTGCTACTGCATTGATGCAATTATGGCTATTTTGGCCTTTGATCTACTTGTATGGCTTGCCAAATTCGTACTTTGATAAAATATCCAGCTTGAACATCGATGTGCTATCCTGAGCCATTTTGTCATCCTTTTCAGACTTTTAATGGTAAAAAGTGGGAGAAGTTTAACAGTGAGAAGGTGGCATCACTTGCTTATGCCAGAATCCAAGGGAAAACAGCCCTGATTGCTCATTTCCAGAACTCTAGTTTGATGAATGAGGACAAACGCTGCCGCCCCATACTCTTCCACTCAGAAGGTCCTAATGCAGGAGATCAGGTATGCTTATGTTTTTTTTTTTCCTGGGCAGTTTCCCTGCTATCTTGTTCTCCAGTAGTCCAGTTACATTATGTATCGCTGATTCGCTGCCCTGTGACAAGTCTTCTCTATATCATCTTAGTCTTTGTGCAAAAAAAAAGGTGTGAGGTAAATTTACACCTGCCATTTTTGCTGCATTAACTGTCCTGTGACAAGTCTTCCTATAGTCATCCATATATTCCTTGAATCCTTGATGGGCTGATGGCAGCTAAAAACATAGGTTTTGTGCAAATAAAAAGGTGGGAGTTAAATGCCCACCTGCCATTTTTGCTGCATTAACTGCCTAACTAGTAATGAGTCCACAATTATAGAAAATGTAACGTCTGTGGATACCTTTTTCATCTGCACTTTCATGCTGTGCACCAATGAACTAAGATACATACATTTCACAAGTGGGGTAACATTTTTTGAACACTGTATCATTCTCACTGTTTTCAAAGCAAGTTTGGTACATAGTTTGCAATCTTACCATACTTATATGGTCCCAGTGTCTGCTTAATAATTTCAGAACTTGCTCTATTATTGTGCCTGCAGTGCTTTTAAGCATATGGTTGCAATTTTGACATTTTGTTGTGATTTTTCTCAGGAACCTTTCCCTATGGGTACAAACATCCGAGCCAGGTCTGGGAGATCCCGGACTTCCTCCGGCGAAGAAAATCACCATGATATCCAGACAGTCTTGACCAACGGTGACACTTCTTCCAATGGAGCTGACGCTTCAGGTCCCACCAAGGACACTGAGTAGCTGAGCTGCAGCTTGCTGCATCGCTAACCACAAAGGCCCAAGCTATAACTTTTTGCAAAGCCATTTTCAGTTCTAGTTTTCCCCCCTTTCCCATTTTGGTTGTGTTTGGTAAGTCTCCCGATCTGTATTTATTAACTTCCATGATGCGGGTCACCGAAGACTTAGGTTGCTGCAAAATTTTTGTCTCTGGCGGGAAGCTATATGCAAGAGGGTGCTACCGGGTTCCCCAGAATCTATGTGCTTGTTAACCTGAAGGCCGAGAAAGGTGAAAGGCGCAGGGAGAGCCTCCAGATTTTGGTCGCTGTAAGAATTAACCCCATGTTGTACAGCAGGTCCCAGTAACTTGTGCTGAGGGGAGAGTGAAGGAGTCATTGTCATCAGTTTTTAGTGGTGGTGTGTGTGTGGATAAGAAGAGTCTTGCCTGCATTTTCTTTTGGAACCTTCTCTTGTGCCTTCACCTGTATTGCATTTTGAGTCGAGGGCTCCTCTTAAATTGTGTGCAGAGGGGCTCGATTTTGTTAACCGGAACAAGGCGCATTTGCGTCTGGATCAACCCCGGTCTTGTCTTCAGGGCACTGTCGCCGTATTTATCAACCTTCTTATGTACATCTCCATCTATATATAGTATGAGTTTTGATGTCGTCTATTTTGTGGCTGTCGTCTCACAAGGTTATTTGTCTATATCAACGCATCTGTTATGCTTGCGGTGTGCATAAAACCTTTATGAACCTTGTGCTTGGTTGCTTACTATGTAAGCATGAATGCAAGCTCTGTGAGTGCGTAATCCTTGTTCAAATCCTTTCAAGAGTATACCAACTTGTAGGAGACGATTTTACGAATCACAGAGTCTTTGGCTCTCCATATCACCCGGCTACGTCGCCACATCCCAAGAGGAAGAATGCCAAAGTGGACACATGACTCGCATATCGGACGCTCCTTGGTTAGAAAAGCCGAAAGCGTGTCGTTTAAGGTTGAGTGCAGTCAATACCCTTAAATTTGTCAATCAATATCTCTTTGAATATTTTGCTTCAACTTTTGAAAACATATATATTTGTCCTGGAAAATAGGGTTGGTGATATAAGATAAGGCCCCGTCAGGAAAGCTGAAAAGACCCAGCATACAGGAGCTGCCGAAAGTTACCCGGCGTCCTCAGCAGTCAGCACCACTCGCAAGTCGCAAACATACCAAAAAATGCCAAAAAGGCTGAGGCTGTTACATCATAGGAACTGACTGCAACTACAGTTTACCAACCAAACGTCTGAGGTTGTCATACAAATTCACCAGAACACAATGATAGGCTGATAACTAGAGAAGATAGAAAAATAATTACAAAGTGAATAAAAAAAAGAACTAACAAATGCAAGCTTGTCAGAACTCAGAACAGAACTAATCACAAAAAGGAAAATGCACAAGAAAGATTTAGTCTGTACACATACCAAATGATTATGAGGCAAAGTTACCACAGGAACCTAGTTAAGAAAACGTGATCACAATTCACAAAAAGAATCAAAATCAATGTACCAAGTCGAGACTTTAACCGAGCTACAGAACAAAGTTTTCAGCCCTGTCAGAGACAAAGGAGGAGCAACTACTGATCATCCACAATCCTATTGGCACCAGCAGTTTGTGCCAACAGGATAAAGAATCCAGAAGTATATGCCTATCTATCTCGTCAGTGTATGCATAATTCTCGATCTATAGCTTCTCTCAACAAATGCTCATCATACTCATGGTCAGAGACGAACTTAACTTTCCCGCTCCGCAGTGTGTTTATCTGATTCTGATTTCTCACCAGTGGAGGTGGAGCCCTCCACCCGGTCAATCTGTTGATTTGATGTCTCACCACTGCAGCTACCCGTCTGGTGTTGACTTGGACTCTTAGCGGCCTGGCTCTCTGTCTTGTCAGACCGCTGACCAGAGCTCTCACCAGAAGTCACAGGACCATCAGGATGGTATGGGTATATGATGTCATAGTGCTCCTGCGTGTGTAGCACGGTCACACGGGGAACTTCATGATCAGGGGGTACTTGATGATGATGACGTGGCCAACACGTGCTTCTTGGCATATCATCTTGGGGATCTTGGCCAATGTAGAGGTCTTCACCAGCTTCTTGAAAGAGGTACTCCACTCGCAGAGGCACCCGAAGCGCCCTGACTAGTGCTGTTATCTGAATATGATCTGTAAAGACCCTACGCTGGATAACTTCTTGAAAGCACCACTGTTTTAAATAAAGAAAGGTGTGAGGATAGAATGAGTGTCATGTTTTCTGAAAAAAAGATGCACTGGGTGGTTCAGAACTAAGTAATCCAAGAACCCAAGGTAAACTGGCGATGATACTTACTTCGGTGAGAGTGCGACCTTCATTGAGCTCAGGTATAAGTGGTACAAACTCTTCACTGTGCGAGCATATCCAGATAGCTGCTACCAATCTGAGGAAAGCAAAAACTGACCAACAAAATGTGTTGGAACAATGAACTAGGAATTAGGATACAAGTGGAGGAAGGGTAGCTTGGTTCAGGGGGGTGTATTACTGTCGTCTGTCCCCTTATAATCATTGAAGAACTCAAGAAGTTTCCCTATGCGGTAGCTGAAAAATGGCACATATTCAGTACAACATGTGAAATGCATTGGCAGCAACACTATGATGGAATTGCTGGGAAGAAACATATTAGAAACCTGTTAATTGTTGGTACATGCTTCCACCTTCTGTGTGTCTTCCATCTCATTACTTTCTTTATCAGCTTCTTAAATGCCTAAACGAATCAGATAATCACTATATTTTCTTGCAATAAGGCTTACACACTGACTATTATAACAAGGTACGAAAAGATATAAGCAACATAAGATTTGACTGCGCAGCTTCTACCAGTAAACAACAACTATAAGATAGTAGTTGAGAAAGAAAATATTTTATAAGCAAGTAGGAGAAACAAAACATTAGTGATTTGATCAGATGACCACACAAAGCAGCATGGGCGCATTATCTTGGTGTAAGGAAGAAGCATGATCTCTTTTATCTCTCTACAATGATATCTCATTATTGCTGTTCTGTGAAAGTGAACTTATGTGAACATGTATTTTTTATTAGCATTAGATTGTTACGTTTCAAATAAAATCAAATTTGAACCCATGTCAACAGGTTGTAATGTTGTGATGGCATGCCCCTATGCCACTACAGTGAAACAATGGTGCATATCCTGCAAACGATAAAAGAAAAAAAAGGAAAGTGAGATGCCAGATCCAGCTTGCACCTTGATGTTAGTTGAAGAAATGATCTATTAATTAAACATGTTTATCTCAGAAATGGTAAACTTGGAGGTGAGCTTACTTTGTGGCTCCTGGAAAATTCGGAGGCCCACCCAAGGCGTGCATGTTGCCTAGCCACTCCTTTAACAGCAGCAAGAAGACGGTGTTCCTCATGTGTATCCTGCCTATGAAGGACTTGCTCCTGTTTTAGAGTGGCGCATACTAGGGTGTTAACCACAAAACGTAAATCTTATTCAAAGGAAAAGGGAGGACACTTACGAGGTAGGAAAATATGAAGCTCCTGTAGAAACACTCTCCATCTCCATGCACTGGCCTAAATTCAGAATAGGCATTGCGAAGGTTCAGAGCATGTGAATGAAATAACACTCCTTGTCCAGCAACCATTTCAAGGAGATTGTAGTGCCTAATGAGCTCGGTTATGTGGAGTTTCTGCACAAAAACAAGAGCAAAGGAATTCAAATCAAAATGATCTGAACCAGGAAGCAGCAGTTCTAATATGGGATTATAATTTGTTAAGTTTTCAGGCTTCCACATTATAAGAAAACCTTAAGCCACTAATAAATGCAATGTTTTTGCTGATATTGATTTGTTCGATGAATAAATAAAGAAAGAACATATGCTGCATTTCTTGAATTCAATACAAACTCAAAGCCGACTAAGGTCCCATCACAAACCAATAATATCAATTAGAAAAGGCACGTAAACAGTGTATGGAGTCAAACCTGGTAGCTCACATGAGGTATTGTGTAATTTCGGTTGGAGATTCCTATCCTGTCCAAAAACTATTCCACATAAAATGGGTTAAAAATTCCACAATTTTTGCCAGAATAAGAAGCAATTGTAAATAATTAATGCCAAGATCCATCCAATAGTTCACAGAAGGAAACAATGAAGAAGGCAATGGAACTTTTTAAAATATTACTACAGAAATATCCAAGATCTTATGTATCTGACAATTGTCTCTTTTGCTAATCATATAATAACTTCAACTATTAGACCATTCATCAACATCAGATACCTGTATGTTTGTCTTCAGAATTCCTTGGAAACACGTCAACAAGGACAATTTGTGGTACAATGAAGAGTAAGACATAAATACTGACCGTTAATAATATCAGTGTAAGCAATAACACTTTTTACAGTTTTTAAAATTATGAAAACATCACAACAACATTGTTTTTTCCCCTTGAAATTCCATATCAGATCACAATAGTAATCAAGAATCATCTAATCTTGGCAGAACAGAAACTATAACATTTGCCATTGCTTTCATCTCTATGCTACACCCATTTGAACATGATCTCCTGCCAGAATAAATTTTATGATCTCAATATTTCATATAAGCATGGAGAGAACAAAGACTGAACAATCCTGATCCAACATCTCAAACACAAAAATTGGCACAAGAGTGCTCACACCAGTTACCAATCACAACCAAAGATGTAAGAAATATTCAGGTCATATTGTACCTTTCTCCAGAGCGGTTTCTTGCCTTTTTTGGGCCAAAGTGCTGGTGAGTCCACCTGTTCCAAAATTAACGTCGAAAGTCAAATATTGAAACAAGGGAGCAGTGATAACAAAATCGACACTTATCGAGTCTCTTCTCAGCTATTCAAAATATGATTATGCTTTAGGCAAGAAATCAGCCAGGCAAGGGCTAAAACCAGCAATGCATGTAGTCCGCCAATGATCTAAAGAAACTACATTGGTTTATGCTATCTCAAATAAACATAGAGATTGGCCCTGACATTTGACGGTGAAATGAAAGCATGATATCAAACTGAACAGAAATATCGATCATAACAGCGCAAGAACATGCACCTACAAAAGTCTCTGCAAGATCGTTGGCTTGCCACTCTAAGCAACCAAGAAAGAGAAATTGGCCCTCAACATCTGCCGAAGGATTCCACCCCTACTCTAGGATGCCGTACAATTTCTTAGGTCCAGACTCCAGTATCCAAAATCCTCCCCCAAGATCCCCAAGAACGGCAGGATTCGATATCCCAAAGGCCAAATCACAAGCAAACAGGAATCGCTCAAGAACGTAGTCGAAATATCCAGGAAACAACACCTGCTCATTCTGTTGCCTCGGCGTTCCCTCAGCCTCGGGTTTCTGGTCCGTTTCCCCGCTCCTCTCCCTCTGGCACTCCAGCATCAGTTCATCGAACACGTTCTTCAAATCGAACGCGGCGCTCGGACCTCCGGCTCTCGAGGAGGAGGGAGGGCGCTCTCTCGAGAAGGAGGGAGGGCGTGGAGGAAGAGGGGGCTTGCCGCGAGCGGAGCCCCAGGCCGCCCAGAAAAGAGACACGGTCTCCTCGCCCTTCTGCTCGGCCGCCGCAGCTGTGGCGGTGGCGGCGGAGGGGTTCTGGCCTCCGGCTTCCGGTGGCCCATGGACCTCTTCCTCTTCTTCGATGATCTCTAACCGCGGAGCGGAGGGCGGCGGCTCTGTAGCGGCGGCGGCGTTGGACTCCTCGCGCTGGCGCAGCGAATCGACCGGTTCTTTGGTTTCGTCGTCGTCTTGGTTCTTTCCTGAATCGGAGGCCATCGTGGCGGGAAGAAAAGCCTAAATATGTAAAAATTCCCCTGAAGGGAAGGGGGTGCGGAGGGTCTGCTTCGCGAAATCTGGGAGAGCGAGGTGGCGGAGGGGAAATACGTGGAGGGCGTCGTTGTTAATGGTAGAGATGATGGGGGGGTATTTATAAAGGCCGTAATGGTCGGTTCCCTGGAGGAGATACGGTAACGGGGGAACACGAGGGATTTGGGCAGTGTGGTTCTTGCATGATTTTCTTGCTGTTATATCAGAGGAGAAACTAGATTTAAGTTTTGTACATACTCTGTGTTCTTGCATACTCTCCTAAAAGTATCCGTCCTGTTTGTTTGGGCTGGTTTGGCTTATAAGCCATGGCTGAAAGTACTGTTGGCTGGTTTGTTGTGAGAGAAAAATACTGTTCGTGGGCTGATAAGCCATGACTTATAAACCAAATATGATCCAGCGAACAGACTGACTGCATGTTTTGTTCTTTATTAATTATTATGTCAGTGTTTCTATTGGCTTTTCATCAAGTTTTCCTTGAGCACTTTAGACCTTGTATTTTGACCAATGTTGCACCCCCTCTAAATTGTAATACATACATATGCTCAATCAAAGATATACAATATATAACTTCTATATATTCAATCGATGCTGTCGCAGAACCGACCAATTTATAAGAATACAAGTACAATGGCAATCCGCAAGCGGTCGCACTGTCATACTTGAACCCATATAAACCCGGTAGTCCGTCGAGTACCACGACGGGTCTCGATAAACGATTTACAACAACCAAGATCGTATAGGATTCAACATACATGCCACATATTACATAAAGTTCACAGATACTTTTCATCATCAGAGTACGAATAAAAGTTATTACAAACTGAGTTTGGTAAGTAAAGCGGAAGCAAATAAGTTCGAAGATAAAATTTCCAACATAGTTTGATACAGTGCCAAGTTAGATCACGGTCCACAAAAACAAGGATAGGAATTACTAAAGAAGCCTGCCCAAGGCTTACTCCTCATCCACAGCGGGATAGAAGCAACTCTTGCAATAACCATGATACACAGTGCCATCTGCAACAATGGGAAAATAAACCCTGAGTACGAGAAGGTACTCAGCTAGACTTACCTGTCATGAACCAGAAATAAAATGACTCCAAGGATTATGCAAGGCTGTATAAGTGGACGTAACTTGATAACATTTTGCGAAAAAGGCAATTGATCCGTTGTACAACTATGATTCCTTTACCAAGTTAATTATAACTATCCATTTCTAGATGAGCAACTATCCTGTGCCAAACATGTGGTATATCATTTAGAAGCATACAATAGTAACCATAGCAGGTATTGTAATTCCATTTTCATCCGAACCATCATGTTCCATAATACAGTTACTACGATGTTGGAGCTAGCCAAGTTTCTCACTATCCGGGAGAGACGGCGATTCAATCGATTTCAAACCGGTGGGAATTTATTCCTAACACAAACCCAGTCTACCCAAACCACGATAGCCTTAGATCACATTTGGTACAACTCAGTACACATTTCATGGGTCCGTCACGCGCCGCATTAACTGAACACACAGATGCCGGGATGCTCAGCCAAGCTCGCCCTTGGGCTCGACCGATCGTTCCCGGAAGGAGCGCACAATGTAACGATTCCCGGCCGAGTTGAATTACTCGGCCAGCGGTCGGAACGAATTATCCGCCAGCTAAGTGAGAGGCATGCGTTCAATCTTGTCGAAGTTCCAACAACAGTACGGTCCTTGATCGACACAGACGGGGATAGATCCACACCCAAGACCTCCATGCCTTGTTGCTTTTCTATCGATATCCCTGCCCCGGTCTCCATTTACATTAACCATGGTTCTTTCCACGATAGCAATGATAACCAACCGTGCTCCGGTATCCACCTATATCTCGTGGTGATGTGAAATCACCCGACTTCTACCGGTCTAAGCATGGCTAAGCATATATTCGATCCTCGGACCTATACCGGTTAAAGGGGTAATATCCGGACAAGGAATGTACATGCATCAAGTGGTTTCATTCAACTCTTATAACCTAATGCAGCAATCATAGTACTTAAGTAAACATTGATAAATTATGGGAGACTTATAATGCTTCGGGCTTGCCTCGCAGAAAGGAAGTAGGGCGATGGTCGGGGCACTCGGAAGTTCTTCAGGTTCTCGCTCCACGCCTTCGGAGGCTGCGGCTTGCGGATCCTCCTGCGGGTTCCTTCTCTCGCTTCTTGAATTCCAACAACGTGATCTCTTCCTCCGATCCTAGATGCATGAGTATGGTATAAGTATTACGAATGCATACATGTTAACAAGTGCATCACGTTGTTTGAGTAGGTGCATATCTCTTCTCGATTATTACTTAACTACTTCTACAATGCATCGACTATGCCACGAACAGTAGCTACTTGTTTCACTCATAACTGGAGTTCTACAAATCCAAATCCAGTGATCCTGGACTTTCTGGAAAGCTTATCAAATTCTCTACAACTTTGCTATTAACCATTTTTATAGTATACCTCAGTTTCAACATGCAACTCATCACACTCTAGAATCAGTCTGGAAATGATTTAACATGCAATATAAAGTAAGAATACTTCTACTTCAGGTAATCATTCAAAATTTGACAACCTAGAACCTACCAATAGTTTAAGCATACCAAATACAGTTAAGATGATATAATGGTGAAGCCCAAACTATTTATTAAATTGCCTTTATTATTTTATTTAGATATCTAGGTTAAATAATAAATATATATCAGATGTGCTTAATAAATTCTCAAAAATTTACAGAGCCTTACTAATGCTATCAAAGGACTACTGTAAAAATTTCATGTCATTTTACCAAGTAGAACATCCTATGCAAAAATGACAAGGCAGCAAGGCTTGAAATAGCATAAATGGAAAATCCTATTGAAAAGTGTCAAGCAACAGATTTCTTATTTTTCTTAACATCCATATGGTACTAGTATTACCTCCGATAAATTTCATGAATTTTGGACTCATAATTAATTTATAAAAATTCATGCAAGGATTAACTATTTATAAAAGAAAAATCTATAACTATAGATCTACACATGCACTGGTCCTCAAATTTTTACCAGAGTTCTCATATGCTAAGATTAGTTCACCACAAAAATTTCATAATTTTTGGAGCACAGGAACTCTAGATATAAAATAAACAAATTTGAATGCATTCAAAAGCACATTTCAAATCCCTATTTAAATCTCCAGAAATTTCTACTGTTGAATCCAAGAACATATTTTTCTTAAATACTACACTTCCTAAGAAACACAATCATATTTATTTCAAAATTTTAGGAGCTCCCAAACTGATGATACAAAATTCGCAAAACAAATCAAAAACTGGAACATTTGAACTAGCCTACAACACATTGTCATGTGGCCGACCGGTGGGACCCGCTGGTCGGGGACCCCACGCTGCGTCAGTGACACGGAGAGCAGAAGCAGCGGCGCTGTTGGGCATCGCGCATGGCGTGGTGGCGCTGAAGCGGCCGCATTGTCGCCTGCCGTCGTCATCCTTGAGCCACGCGCGCGCTGGCACGCCGCCTTAACCCGCCCGTCATCCGCCCGACACCCTTCCACGCTCCATTTTTTTCGTTCTCTCGGCCTTCTTCTCTCCCGCGCAGCGCTATTCTCGCACCACAGAGCCGCCAGCGCCATTGCCGATGGCAGCTCGTCCTCGCTCCTCTCCGCCACCGCAATAGCACCACCGACACCCCAAGAACTCCCGCGACGCCCCCATTGCCCCCATTGTTCAAGCTCGGTAAGCGCAGAAGAACAAGACACGCTTTTGCCGGAGCTCGCCGCCGTGGTCCGTCATCGTGGCCACGCCGTCGTAGTCTACCTTTCCGCATGATAGCTGGTGCGCTAGGTCCGCCGTAGTACCCTGGTGCTCGTCCGAGCCTTAGATCGGGCCACCGAGGTCGTCACCGGCGTCGATGCCACCACAATCAAAGATATACAATAAGTCACCTCTTGAACTTCAATATGTTCGATCGATGCCACCACTTGGTCAATATTAACCTAAGGGCTTTCAACATCGCATGTGAGTAAATCTCCCTTGAACTAATGACTTGCACACCATGTGATCAAGACTTCACTTTCATGCGTATAAGTCACCACAACATATGATTCAACAATTACTTGCTACTTCACACTGCATGGCTCATCATGGATTGATTAGTTCCTCGGAGTTGACACATGTAATTGCTTCTGCACCTAGCCTTGCATTGGTTCCTTGGTCCTCAAGCCATTGCTTGCCCTTTACCTTTGATTTATACCTTAAAGACATAGCTTGATTTAATCATTCACCCTATTTTGTATCATCAACAACATTCAACTTGAAATACATTTTTCCTATATCCAATTTATGCAAATCATCAATAACGATGATTATGCATAAGCTACAATCTTCATTCATTTGCTAGGTGATATAATCTTAATTATCCAACCATCTTGTAAATGAGCTTCCAACTAATGAGGCTAGGGAAATACATATGGTGCCTCTTCTCTCTTTTCAACTCTATACAGTGGTAGATGATGGATATAAATTGAGGTGTGGCACAACTATATCAATAAAGCTCCATGGCTCAATTTATAGTAAAGACATAGGAAAAAAACACCAGAAAAAACTAAGATATAAAAGAGGAGAAGATGACGAAGAAAAAGGTATGGCAGAGGTCCTCCCTAGCCATATTGAGTCCTCTGCCACTGACTCTATACTTGTCATTTGATTATTTATAACACATCTTGTTAGGACCAATCATTTGACCAAATTTGAAACCCAAATACTAATGCTCCTTATTTGATGGACAAGCTAGCTATTCATGTGAGACAAACTTACCTTGATTCATGTCTTCTTTTAATTATTTTTTAAACTTTGCTTGTCACCTAATCATTGAATCTTTTGGACTTATCTCATTTGAATGACATTTTCTTCTCACAAGTCCATATACATAAATCATCAT